TTGTTGCATATTATAATAATAAGAAGAGGCCTGGCGGGTCTCAGCTATAAAGGTGCTCTCACCACCGAACAGGCGATATGGTAAGCGAAACGTCAGAGAGTAGTAATTTCTATATATACTGAGTGATAAAAGAAGGTAGACACCTACGTTGTTTATTAGAATTCAAGAATTTTCCACATATCGATGTATCTTACCATGAACAACAAGTGATAAAATGGTCAGGTTTTTCTGTTAAGTTTTGTGGTGGCTGCATGTATTGTTTGGTGTTAAAGAAGCATTCAGTTTCCGTACATTTACGGTGTCAGTTAAGTGTTAAATTTCATGTAGCTTATTGAGAAGCCTATTTGTGATAAGAGAAGTTTATAAGAGGACCAACAGATCCTTACGCACTATACTGCAGTGTGAACAAGCGTGGACTTAGGAAGCCCGAGGTCAGCGAGCGAGGTGTTCTGGACGTCCCAGAGGGATCACAGAGGGACCAAGACCACCGATTAAGACTTCTAGCTCTGGGAGACAGATTCAGTAGTACTCGAGCCATCGCTAATCAGTGGTTTGAAGAGCATGAAAGGATGGTTGGTATGCGGACGGTATATCGCCGAATACGAAAGTTTGGCTTTTTTTCTTATCGCCCACATTGGGTGCTACGTCTCACAGTTGAACATTGGCGTAACCGCTTGCTATGGCGTAAAGAAACAATTCTATGGGACCAAACATGGAATCAGATGGTCTTTAGTGAGAAATGCCGATTCTGTCTGGGAATACATGATGGTCGGGCAAGAGTGAGAAGACGACTTGGTGAAAGACGTGACCCACAATTTGACAGAGAGCGTCACGTTCACCACACCATGAGAGTTATATGGTATGCAGGTCACCACTAATTTTCATCAGAGGCAATATGACAGCCCGACGCTATATACAGGAAGTAGTGGAGCCTCATCTTATTCCATACCTAAACAGTATCCAGACCAGATTTTTCAGCAAGACAATGCCAGACCGCATGTTGCCAGAGCATCGTTAGCCTTTATGGATCAACATCTCATCAACTGTTTACCTTGGCGGTCACGATCTGGAATGAGATACCCCAACGGGATATCGACCACCTTATCAGCACGATGCCCAGGCGTGTCAATGAGTGTATAAGATACCGTTGATCCTCAACACATTATTGAACCAGCTTCTGCAGTCAGTTGACGAATCAAGCTGAAAATTCTATCATTTTACTAGTAAGTATATATGGCAAAAATCAGTAAAATCGGTTACACATACGTAGGTATTTACCTTTTTCTGTGTATGCATACTAAACTTATTTGATAATTGTGCACCTATGAGAACACTTAGAGTTAGTAAGTCACCAGCTCATTGGCTAACATACAATATTAAAATGATCAATAAAGCCAGAGATAAAGCTTATCTAAGGTTTGAAAGAAGCAAGTCAACTGTCCACTGGAACTATTATAAAGAACTCCGTAATTATGCTGCTGCTGCTCTTCGGAGAGAGAAAAAAGCTTATATGGAATATATCTTATCTGGGAGGAACAGTAAAGCAATATGGAGTTCTCTTAGGAAACTCAATATAATTAAGCCCTCTATAAATGCTCTTCCAGATAGCTTTAATGACGCAAATGAAATTAGAACTACCGAACAGATATCAAAACAATAGGTTTTCCAACTCATTCTGTTTCCAAAATGTTGCTAAAGAATCTGTTGCGAAGAGTTTCTCATTTATTAAAACTAATGCTGTAGGGGTTGATGGAATCTCACTCATTATGATACAGTACGTTTTCACTTTGCTCTTAGACCAGGCCTCTCCAGCTCAGGTGCCACCAGCGCAGCGCCGAGCGCCGCTCGCAGCACAGTGCTGCGGGGTGACTCCTTGAAGGTGGGGGAGGGAGATTAGGCAGGGGCATACGCACCGCGAAAAGAAATGAGCGGGAGCTGGTGGCATTGAGTATAACTTCATCGCGGATTCGACTAAATTTAGTAATAATATGTAATTTTTAAGTAAATGAACAAGAAGAGCTCAGTAAGAGGCACATCCTGCCAGAAGTACATGTCATACAGACTTAAAGATACAGCGTGACAAGAGAATTCCACCGTCCTCACCGAATCCAATGAAGCCTACAAGGTTTGATGGAAATTTTAGGCTCATTTAGAAAAAAAGGGTATGACAAACTGATTTCCGACAGAAGTTTCTGTCGTACCGACTGAAAGGTATAGCAGGCAGCGCAAATAGACAAAAATAATACATCCTGTTTGTATGCTTCATGCTTGCATTTAAAACCTCATTTGAGTCTGTCAGTTTGACACCAGGCTTCTAGATGTTTGAAAGTATATGTAAAATGAATATGAAACGTCATGACCGTTGATATACGTATAGGTTATGGTGAAATCCTACCGACACGTTGTATCTTCAGGTCGATATGACAGGTACTTTCATCGGCATACCAAGCCCTTTTTGTTCATTTACTTAAAAACTACATATTATTACTAAGTTTAGTCTAATCCGCGATAAGATTTAATTTTGCCGGCTCCCAACCCCAACGGAAAATGAGTGGAGTGACATTCGTATTGACATTTGAATTGGTCTGATCGAGTCAACGCGCGGGTGATAAAATAATGTTCATAATTTCGACGTAAACACATTTATTCTTAAGATGATCTTTGACAGCGCTTCGATTCAACAAGTTTTCTAATATTTGGTACAGTGGCTTGAGCAGTGGAAATTCTGAGTAACGCCTCTAAGGACACATCAGACAAAGACCTGTTTTTAGTTTTGTTCAAATTCATTAAAGAAAACATCTGCTCCCAGAAGTACGTTGTACCGAACATGGAGCAAGTTTCCAAGGCCAGTGCAAGAATTTTGGGAAAATCTTGCTGCTTAACACCTTGATAAAACGAAATTAAATCACTATTGTAGTGGTTGTATCTAACCTTAAGGATCGTATCGCATTGAAGCTTAATCAGCTCCATTTGGAACTGCGGCGGTTCTGTTTCGAAAAGCACTGAAGATGGCGTCGTAAAAATCTCATTTGCATAAACATCTCAACGTCGTCAATGATTTAAAAAAATCTTAAGCACTTTTGCGCAGCTTAACCAGCGCGTAACACAATAAAAGGGTATGTCACCGTAAGTTGCTTACAGGTCTTTTAAAAATACTTCAAACTGCCGTGGTTGAGACCTTGCTTTCTGCAGAAATTGACACATGTTATTACTACATCCATAATAGATTTGAAATTACGGAAGGTTTTTGCACATAGTTGTTCCTGATGTAATATGCAGTGTACCGATGAAATAGGAGGTAACTCAGTGTCGCGTACTTTTATTTTCATTCGCCCAGAAAGACCTTGTGCTTCCGATAACATTGCTGGCGCTCCATCAGTTGCAACACTACTCAAACTTTTGAGTAGTATACCCATGTTATTCGTTGTGTATTCTACAGCATCAAAAATATATTCTCCGGCCATTTTATCTTTGAGCGGGATAACGTCTAGTAGTTCGTCGGTGATAGTAAATACTATTTCGATACCTCTAACGAAAACAGCTAATTATGCTGTGTCAGAAATGTCATTACTTTCATCGAGAGCTATAGAATACTGCACAAAATGGGGACATTTTCCCGCAGCTGTTCTTTTAAATCTGCACCAAGTTCAAGTATCCGACGGGGAATTGTTTGCTCGGACATACTAATTGTCTCAAAGTTGCTTACAGGAGATGGGCACAATATTTCTGCACGCTCCACTAAGCATTCTTAGACAAGTGTACCTTCAGTAAACTGTCTCCCACTTTTTGCGATTTTCAAAGCAACAATATAACTTGCATTACGACACCATTAATAATAATCATCTACGACCAAATTAATAATTACCTCTTCAGAACTTAGAAGGGCTGGCCTCAATAGCGTGTGACAAATCAAACATTTTGTTTTTCCATCAGTATTTACAAAAAAATGGGCTTTTTCCATGCAGGATTGAATGACATCGCTTAAAAAAAGATGCACGTTAAGACGCTAAAAACCCTGTCCACTTTGTCTTGTCCGGTGCCGCTGGGTTCAGTACCGGAGCTCACCAGCACTAAGTGCTCGATTTGGAGAGGCCTGTTTTGGAACGAGAAATGAAGATACAAATATCTATATTTTCAGTAATGAAATAGTTCCATCAATGCAGTCTGGATTCAGGAAAACCATAGTACAACTGCTCCAGCCAATGTCACTGATGATGCTAGAGAGGCCTTGATCAAGGACATATCACTTGTTTAGTTCTGCTGGATTACACAAAAGCTTTCGATATGATATACCCTGAAATTCTGCTACTTGAGCTGTCTTACTATGGTTTTACTGACGCACCAGTCAATTTGATAAGCTGCTATTGGTCAAATAGAAATCAAAAGTTCCTAACAGCTTCGAAAATGTCACAGCCAACTGCTATAAAGTTTGGTGTTTCTCAAGGTTCCATATTGGGACCTTTACTTTCTCTCTATATATATCGGATTTTCATCAATAGTAGGCTAGTAGACGTCTCGTGCTTGCATAACCTAAAAATTAATCCATCTAAATCTTCAGTTATGGTGTTCGGCTCAAAAAACAAAAGAACATTGATCGAAACGGAAATTAACCTTAAAATCTATGATTGCCGGCTTCCTAGAATGAATGAGTGTAAAAACCTGGGACTCTGGATAGACACAGAACTAAAATACAAAAAACACGTAAATTCGTTATGTATTGCATCATACTGCATTTTGAAGCAGTCTTATCCACATAGGCAAATAATATCTACTTCAGTAAAGCTGAAACTGTGAAACAATAATTATATTTCGTATTGCCGTTCTCGAATTACAAAGTAACCACTTGTAGTAGCAATTTTTCCCGCTCGCACCAGCACGAAGTTCAAAGCAAAATATGCTCCCCGCCCCTGCCCATACCCGGCATAGACCGGTACCTGATCTCCTCTACCAAGACTCGTCACTGCAATTTTTCGTGCGCTCGCAGCAGGACGGAGAGAAAGATGGGTCGCGTAACAAAGAAAGTGACGCGTAAAACACAGAAAAAAATTACACAAATTGCTGCAACTTTTAGATAGTTCAAGTAAGTATATTGTAATTAATTGTTCCATTCTGTTTTAGCCCCAATTCATTCAATGAAAACATAAGTACACATGTGCTATGTGCCTATCAGGTTCCTGTTTATTATTGATATTCAGTATTCACATGAATTACTAGTATTAATTAAAATGGTTGATTAATTTCAATGTGCCCCTCGGATAAACATGTACACATGTACTATGTACCGATTAAATACTTCTTGATATACAGTATTCACATGAATTACTGGCATGAATAGTTGATTGTCTTCAAAATACATCTCGGGTATGCGTATGTACACATGTGCTATGCACCGAATGGCGACTTCTTGACTTACAGTATTCACATGAATTACTGTTGTCAATGTTATTGGCATATTGGTATGGAATACATAGTATGTAACTCTTTCAAACAAAGCTGCCGGATAGTGTTTATAAACATGTGAAAATGTTTTTTAGGCGAGTCAGACGTCTCGTCGTTGGAGAGTACAGGGACAAACTCGGATTCAGATGCGCCCTTATCAAAGCATCCAACGCAAGTCCCGGAGCCTGGCTCATCCCAGGATCAGGGTGTACAAAATATACTACAATTCCTGGGTAATCAAGCATCTGCTATAAAAGGACCAGAGGTCAGTACAGACGTAGCAGCTCTGATATCTGAGTTTTTACTCAAGGGAATTGATAAAGAATCTCGCAAAACTACTCTGGAATCTTATCCCTGTTTGGCAAACTGTCCAGCCCTTCAGCCTCCAGTGATTAACCCAGAGGTTCGATCTTGTTTAAGTACAAATGCAGTTAAAGAGGATACATTCCTCACTAAACTTCAATTACAGTTAGCATCTGGGATAAGTGCACTGGCCGTCGGCTTCAATAAGCAATATGAAATAACGAAATCGAATTCTACAGACGAAACACGAGCTGATTTGGAAAGATGCTGTGCTCCACTAAAAATAATCGCAGATGTTTTTCACGCGATTTCTCTTCATCGTCGTTATTCCATTCTACCATTTTTGGATGGCAACGTTCGCAAATTTTCTGATACTTGCCCAATTGATGAATTTTTATTTGGAAAAACATTCCCGGACCAATGGAAATCCGCAAGTGAAGCTCAACGATTAGGCTTTCAATCAAGAAGAAGGAAAAAGCCCTAGGATCAGCATCTTCCAAACCAGTCGTCTATAAGAAATTGGAGCCCAAGCCAGGTCCGTCGAGGGTCCCGTCGTCTTTAAACTCCCGGCACCAGCAACACAAATCTCGCATGAAAAAGGAGGAGGAGAGGTTTCGTTCAGCAAGGTCATACCGGAAGCAGTAGACAAGGTACATACTCTTTGCGATATGTATACGGGTCGCTTATCTGCATATGTAAATAAGTGGGCAAACATTACACAAGATTCTACTATTATTTCGTGGTTATCTGGATATAAAATGCCTCTTGTTAAGAAACCTAAGCAAAGGCGTTTACCTAGACCTGCTTTTACGCTGCAGGAATCAGATAAATTAAAGGATAGCATAAGACTTTTGATAAACATAGGAGCAGTATCCAAAACTACCTCAAAACCTGGCCAGTTTTTGTCCTCATTTTTCTTAATACCAAAACCTTGTGGGGCATTCAGGTTTATTCTAAATTTAAAGGAATTAAACGAATTTTAGAACCACCCCACTTTAAATTGGAAGATTTCAGGACTGTCTTCAAATTGGTTTATAATGACTGTTTCTTCACTAAAATAGATTTAAAAGATGCCTATTTTATGATACCGGTGCATCAGACATTCAGAAAATACCTCACTTTTAAATTTCAAGGTGTATATTACCATTTTAATTGTTTACCTTTTGGTCTTTGTACAGCCCCATGGGTCTTTACAAAAATTATGAAACCAATCCTTAAATATTTAAGGACTGGAGGTATAATTTGTGTACTGTATTTAGATGACTTATTAATTATCAGTAAGTCAATACAAACAGCTGAGCAAGACTGTCAAATTGCTAAGGATATTTTAGAATATTTAGGATTCTTAGTAAATTACGATAAAAGCTCTATGATCCCAGCCAAACAATGTACCTTTTAGGTTTTGTTTTTGATTCCACAAATTTAAGGGTGTCCTTACCAACAGAAAAAGTGAAAAACATGATGGAACTAGTAGAGACTTTTCTACGCCGCAATCGGTGTTCTGTTTTAGTTTTAGCTCAGTTAATAGGAAAACTAGTTTCCGTTTGCCCGACTGTACAATATGGTTGGATGCACCTTAAGATTTTAGAACGAGTTAAATATGTAACATTAAAAAGACACGAGCAAAATTTCAATACCTCAGTAATAATTTCAGAAATATGCGATCAGAAATATATTGATGGCATCACACTCTTATAAATAATGAAGGTGTAGCTATTGTTGCAGATAGGAAATTCATACTTGAGATTTTCTCAGATGTTTCATTAACTGGTTGGGTGCCTTTTGTCAGAATAGAGGTACTAACGGTTTTTGGAATGTGGACGATGCTAACAGACACATTAACTATTTGGAGTTACTATCCGCATTTAATGCACTTAAATCCTTTGCCTCCAATATATCTTCTTGTTCAATTCTTCTTAGGATCGACAATGTAACGGCTATAGCTAGCATAAATCATATGGGTAGTGTAAGATATAAGCACCTTAATAACATCACACGCCAGATTTGGGAATGGTGTGAGAATAGACAAATTTTCATAGTAGCTTCATATATAAATACAACAGATTATTTATATGCAGATAGATTATCTCGCTCGAAATCTATCAACCTAGAATATGAGTTATCGAGTTTGGCTTTTCGAGAATTTGTTCTAGTTTCGGGAAACCGACTGTGGATTTATTTGCGACACAGTTAAATGCCAAAGTTCCTAGGTATATTTCTTGGAAACCAGATCCTAGTTCCTTTACAGTTGATGCATTTACAGTGCCTTGGAGAAAAGAGTTTTTTTATGCGTTTCCTCCTTTCTCACTCATATCAAAATGCCTACAAAAAATTATTGCTGAACAAGCTTGTGGAATTCTTGTGGTTCCTAATTGGACAACTCAACCGTGGTATTCCGTTTTCCATAAATTATTGACAGGAAGATCTATAATCTTTTCGCCTAATAAAGCCCTTCTCTCTTCCCCTTCTAGGGGATGCCATCCACTGTGGAGAACACTTTCCCTGGAGGCTGGGAGTTTATCGGGGAAGCTTTTCTCAGACGAGGAGTGCCAGAAAACGGGCTCCAAACAATCAAGGCATCGCTTAGTCCATCTACTTTGAGACGGTATTCATCGAAATTAAAAAAGTGGTGGCAATTTTGCATAAGCAAAGGCTATATTCCTTTTTTGTATTCATTAGACGCAGTCATTAATTTTTTGAGTGATCAATTTCAAAACAATTGTTCCTACTCAACACTTAACTCACAGTATGCGGCATTAGCTTTGATTTTTGAGATAAATAGCTCAGATAAAACTATTCTAAAACGGTTTCTTAAAGGAATTTTCAATCAGAGTCCGTCAAGACCTAAGTACCAATCAACTTGGGATCCTCAACCAGTTTTAGAGTACTTATCTACCTTGTATCCCTTAACAGAAATATCTGTTATGCAATTGACTATGAAGTTAGTTACTTTGTTAGCTTTAATTACTGGCCATCGATTACAAACGTTCACTTATATACGATTACAAAATATAGTTCGCCATACTGATAGAATAGAAATTAACATTACGGATAGAATCAAAACTTCATCTTCCAAGGATCTTCAACCCCTTTTAGTGATCCCATATTTTCGGGAAACCCAAGCCTTTGTTTAGCCTCAACTATCGATTTCTATGAAATAAAAACCAGAGGCATACGCCTACTTGATACTGATTTTCTTACTTTAACAGTTAAGAGACCTATTCGCCCAGCCTCTACACAGAGATTGAGTAAATGGATCAAACTGACCCTTCAAGCAGGCGGTATTGATACCTCTATATTTTCTAGTTATAGAACTAGGCATGCAGCTAGATCTGCAGCCTATAGAGCTGGAGTCTATTGAAATGATAAGAGAGAGGGCTGGTTGGACGAAAAAAACAGAAATGTTTGCTAAGTTTTATAATCGCCCTCTTTGTAGTGATGTTACGGCCTTTGCTAAAGGTATCTTGAGTTAAGCTCAGTTTAATATATTTTTTTTATGGATTAATAGAGTTTGATCAAATTCTATACTACTTTTTGAAGAGAGAGTAGTGAACTGTTCATAATATAATAATTTGTATTAGAAGATAGTATTATTGAATTGTTTTGTTTAGATTCCTCTATTAGATCTTTACGAAATAAATATGGTGCCATGATCCCGATTCGGACTCTTCTTTGAACATCTACAAGTGGTTACTTTGTAATTCGAGAACGGCAATACGAAATATAATTAATTGTTCAATTGACTTACCTAAGGAAAATTGAACCATATTATATGAGTATTGCCGTTCGAAGAATTACAAACCCACCCATTATTTTTCATCCCTCCCACTGTTCCGAACGGGATTAGCTGCGTAAATTGCAGTGACGAGTCTTGGTAGAGGAGATCAGGTACCGGTCTATGCCGGGTATGGGCAGGGGCGGGGAGCATATTTTGCTTTGAACTTCGTGCTGGTGCGAGCGGGAAAAATTGCTACTACAAGTGGTTACTTTGTAATTCTTCGAACGGCAATACTCATATAATATGGTTCAATTTTCCTTAAGGTAAGTCAATTGAACAATTAATTATATCAAAGATCAGTTATTGTGACAGTATATGTGGACCCGATCTTATAGTGAACAAAGCAAATTACAGCGTATTCAGAATTCGTGCGTCAGACTTTCTTGCGGAATACGAAAGTTTGATCATATTTCTTATAAATTTAAGGAGCTTGGTATTCTGCAGATTAAAAGCATGCAACAACTTCACTTATTGACACTCACACATACAGTCTTAGATACCAAACAACCATAATATTTGCATAATAAGTTAAAACGCGTTATAGTACAGAAGATTTACCCCTACCACTAAAGAAGAGGATCGAGTTTCCCTGGATCAGCGCTTTGCCTTATCCAGTTTTATTTTATTGTATTCTGAGTTAGTCAGTCTGTTGTTAGCGCTCATACTATATACATCAATAGAATTATATTTCGATAATCGAGAATAAATCTTTTTAAAAAGCAAGTAGACTGACTCGGTCAGATAATTGGCGCAGCCAGATCGGATTTTCGGGCTGTTTCGCGAATCAATCGAGGCCGCGAAAGCAGTTTTCTTATCGACGAATTTATCAGAAAAACGGCCTACGGACTAAAGACTTTGGTGAGTGGGAGTTCGAGCGGAACCGGTCTATCGAAGACACCGAGGGCAGCTACCACCTACGAAGTCAGGGATTTGGACCACACATCGCCCAAATCTGCAAGCGGAACATTTTGGAGAAGGACCAGATCGCCCAACCAAGATCTTCCCCTTATAGTTAAGCAACCAAGTAAAGACAAAGAAAGAAACGTGATGCACTTGATCATCCTCGTATTAGCGTAAGTGCAACTATACATTTTAAATGTCTTTGGAAGATATTGCAGAGGCTATAGATAATTTGACACTTTCAACTGACTCACTTATTTTAAGACCACCTAGATTAAATATTGAAAATATTCCAAGTATGTCTCAATTCAGACCAGAATTTTTAAATTGCGTCCGAGAGTGTGACGGAAATCCTAATGACTTAAATAGGTTTCTATCACTGAGTGAAACGTTAATTGCAAATTTTTATGATATACGGAACCCACATAATTTCCAAAATATCTATTTGCTAAATTCACTGATCTCGAAATTAAAAGGAAATGCTAAAGTGCTTGTGAATTTCCAAAATATCACAAGTTGGGCAGATTTAAAAGACTAGGAATTTTTCTGATCAAAGAGATGAAACTTGTCTAAATCGTGATTTGGTTATG